CCTGAGTCCATATTCCCAGCATTCCAGAGGCTGAAGCAGGAGGATATCAAATGCAAGGCTAGCTTAAGCTGTGTAATGTGGCCCTATCTCCAAACAAAAAAACAAAAAAGAAAAAAATAAGTAGCTATAGGATACAAACAAAGCAATAATGACAAGCAGACTCAACCACAAGGAAGGGTTAAACTTACACATTAAATCAGGTGGTAGGTAAAGTGACTAATGCTGTCCCTCCCATCCCAGGCAGAGACTGTATCTTGTGGCTAGGAGCTTCTCTTTAACATGCTTGGATTCCTCCTGTGAGTAGATGAGGATCTGAGTTTATGTTCGCTCTGAGTCAAGGAGCGCTTACATTCTGTTTCTGTAGATCACTGTCCTCTGAGCAGGGGAGATGCCGGAAGGTTTTGGCTGGGGCAGCACCTGGGTCAGGAAGACTTGTAAGACATGAAGTGGCCTGGTGGTGATGGGCCTGGGAGGAGCAGGAAGGCCAAACCCTGTGCATCTGCAGCCTGCTGTGCCCGGAGCTGCAGCCTCAAGGGCAGGCTTTCTTCTGCCTGTAAGTTACGCTTCAGCTTTAGAGAAAGCCTACTGCAGTAGTGCATGAGGAATCCAAGTGGGACTGAGGGCTTCTTGGTCAGCCTAGAGCCTCTGGCTTTAGAACCCACAGTGTGGAGGAAAGCTGCGGATAGGTAGTGAGGCCTGAGAGTAAACAGTCCCCGACCCCTTTCTTTTTGTTGTCGGTGTGGGGCTTGAACTCTGGGCCTGGTTGCTGTCCTTCAGCTCTTCAGATCAAGGCTAGTGCTCTATCATTTTGTGCCATCATTCCACTCCTGGCTTTTGGTGGCTCATTGGAAATAAGAGTCTCATAGCCTGGTTTGAATTTGAACTGTGATCCTCAGATCTCAGCGTCCTGAGTAGTTAGGATTACAGTCGTGAGCCACTGGTGTGCTAGCTCATTTGTGTGTGTGTGTGTCAGTCTTAGGGGTTTGAGCTCAGTCGAGGTGCTGTCCTTGAGCTACTGCTTTTGCTGAAGGTTAACCCTATGTCACTTGAGCCACAGCTCCACTTTCAGCTGTTTGGTGATTAATGGGAGATAAGAATCTCAGGGATTTCCTGCTTGGGTAGCTTCCAACCATGGTCCTCAGATCTCAGCCTCCTAAGTAGCTAGGATTACAGGCATGAGTCATGAGTACCCAGCACTTTTTTTGGGGGGGGGGTCTGGTACCAGAATTTGAACTCAGGACCATGTGCTCTTTCTCAGCTTGCTTACTCAGGGGGCACTCCATCATTGGAGGCACACTTTTTTTTTTCTTTCAGCACTGGAATTGGAACTCAGGACCTTAAACTTGCTCAGCAGGCACTTTACCACTTGCGCAATGTTACCAGCTTAGACTTGTATGTGTGTGTGTGTGTCCTGGGGCTTGAACTCAGGGCCTGAGCACTGTTGTTGAGCTTTTTTTTTTTTTTTTTGTCTGTCTTGGGGCTTGAACTCTGGGCCTGGGTGCTGTCCCTCAGCTCTTCAGCTCAAGGTGAGCACTCTACCACTTGAGCTACAGCGCCACCTCCGGTTTTCTGGTGGTTTATTGGAGATAGGAGTCTCATGGTCTCTCCTGCCCGGGCTGGCTTTGAACCGCGATCCTCAGATCTCAGCCTCCTGAGTGGCTAGGATTACAGGCGTGAGCCACCAGCACCCGGCTTGTTGTTGAGCTTTTTATCTCAAGGCTGGTGCTCTACCACTTGAGCCACAAAGCTTCACTTCCCTTTTGGGTGCTTCATTGGAGGTGAGCATCTCATAGACCTTCCTGCCTAGGCTGGCTTTGAACCATGATCCTCTCAGATCTCAGCTTCCTAGCTAGGATTATAGGCATGAGCTACCTTTGCCTAGCTAATAAATAGTATCTTTTTTTTTTTTTGCCAGTCCTGGGGCTTGAACTCAGGTCCTGGTTGCTGTCCCTGAGCATTTTTGCTCAAGACTAGCACTCTACCACTTGAGCTACAGTGCTATGTCCAGCTACTTCTGGAACTGGAGATAAAAGTCTCATGGATTTTCCTTCCCTGGGCTGGCTTCGAACCTCAATCTTCAGATCTCAGCCTCCTGAACAGCTAGGATTATAGGCATGAGCCACCGGTGCCTGGCCATAAATAGTTCTTATTTGCTGGCACAAGACTCATTTTCCCCTCTCTTCTCAAAAAATTAGACTGTGCAATGTCCTTGCTGATTTACAGTATACCATCAAGATGGAAGCCAGGCTGCACAGTGCAGCCTCTGGCCAGCCCAAGCTGAAAACTGCCTTTCTTCAGGCTTTTGAAGATTCCTGGGAAGTTGTTGAAAACCGCTTGGGACCTTGTAAGTGAAGGTAGTTTACAGGTCCTTTCCATGTTTGGGAAAACTGGGCTAGGAATTGGTTTTGGTCCCTAATTCACTGTGACCTTGGGTGACCCCTAGTGGCAATGTGTGACAAAACACATCCAGCATGGATGGGTTTCACATCTGTATCAGATTTTGTTGATATGTTTCCTTTTGCTGCAGGTAGGTCCTGGGTAGAAATTCTTTCAGTATATTCTTGTGTTGTAGCTTGATCTTTAGTTGTTACAGTCCTGGTATTTGCTTTTCTGTGTGTGTGTGTGTGTGTGTACATCTGCTGGGATTATAGGCATGTACAACCACACCCAGCTTAATCACATACACTGAATGCCTCTTCATTTGACAGCAAATCCAATGTATATTGTTACGTAGTTTGCTTCCTTGTAGTGCTAGACATGAAACCCAGAGACATGTGCGTGCCAGACAATACTTTCCCACTGGGACACAGGCCAGGCTATTGTGTTGCTTATGATGAACCTCTATTCATGGATGGCCTATGTTTTGTTTTGTTGGTTGTGGGGCTTGAACTCAGGGCCTGAATGTTCTCTAGGAGTTTTGGTGCTCAAGGCTAGTGTTCCACCACTTTTAGCCACAGCTCTACTTCCAGTTTTCTAATGGTTAATTGGAGATAAGTCTCAGGAGCTAAGCCCTGGTGGCTCACAACTGTAATCCTAGCTACTCAGGAAGCTGAGATCTGAGGATCAAAGTTCGAAGCCAGCCTGGGCATGAAAGTCTGTGAGATCTTATCAATTAATCACAGAAAAAGTCATTAGTGGTACTGTAGCTCAAGTAGTAAAGTGCTAGCCTGGAGCAGAATGAGCCTAAGGACTGTGCCCAGGCTCAGCCAGGAAAAAAAAAAAAAAATCACACGCTCTGTCCTTGAGACCTAGCCCCAGCCCAGTTAGCTTCTTTTTTTTTATAACACTGGCTGGCCTTGAACTCAATCGCAGCCTCTGCTCCTCAAATTTACAATCTTCCAACCTATACTGCCCACATGCTTGGATTATAAGCATGCGTCACTATACCCAGTGTCGTCTGCGCCCCCCCCCACAGCCCCCCATGAAACACTACCCAGATCTTAACACGGTTTATGGAGTGGGAAGACCTTTTTCCCAGTCTTGACTTCTCCAGCTGCCATCATTGCCAGACCCTCTCCTTTCTGTCCTGCAGGACCACTCTGCTCATCTCCTGCAGACGCTCCTTTGCCATGGGTCAGGACCCAATCCTGACCTCTCCCGGCTGCTGCGTGCGTCTGGGTAGAGGGTGGCTGGCTTGGGGTCCGGCAGGGCCGCTCTCTTCTGCTGAGGCCTAGCCTTCTTCAGGAGGTCTTGGGGGCCGCAGTGGTCTTGCAGAGGGCTGCCGGCCGATTGCCAGTGCTGTGGGGGCTTCCTCGGTGCAGAGCCCCACCCTACTCCTGACCCTGTTTGTCGCTGGCTACAGCGAGGGGTGCAGCAGGCTGAGGGCTGCTCTGGCCCTGTGTGTGAAGGACCGCAGTGTATGGCTGAGGCTGCTCTGGCCCTGTGTGTGTGTGAAGGACCGCAGTGCATGGGTGTGGCTGGCGCTGGCTCCTCTGCAGGTGAGTCGGGGATTTGTGGGGTTCTGTTTGGAATGGAGAGAAGCGCTAGGGCCGGCACAGGATCCCCACTGTTCAGTACTCCCATGGTCCCTGGCAGCCCATGATGGGTCCAGTAGCGGTCTCTGATCTGCAGGGATGGTTGCGGGGCAGGGGTGAGGGGGAGATGTTACAAGCAGCTCACAGGGGCAGCCCTGCCCCCCTGCCCCGTCCCCGCCAGCCCCGGGCGGCAGGGGCGGCAGGGGCATCTGTCCCGCCGCAGTGTTGCAGGCCTGACGGGCGTGGCAGGCTGTGGCCTGTGGCCGATGGTGTGGTCCTGGATGGGGGGAGGAAGGTAGCTGCGGCTGCTGAGCAGTCACCTCACGGTCCCCTAAGCCACTGGGCCCCCCCCCCCCATTACGAGTCACAGAGTCCTTTCTCCCAGGACTACCTGAGCTAATCCAGAGATGCAGGCTCCAGTCCTGAGAACGGGGTGACCTTCAACTCTGCTCCCCCAGGGGCCCGGAGCCCTTACCAGACTGGCCCCAGTGCACGCTGCAGGCCTCCCTGACATGGAGTCTACTCACTGAGGGACCCCACGGCTAGAACACCCCCTGCCCCTCCCCGGGCCGGGCAGGGGCACAGGGCAGCCTCTGGGATGGCAGGACGGGGGGAGGGCAGTCACAAATGCACAGACGAGCGGCGGTGCCCAGCTGTGTATTTCAAACAAGCCCCCTCAGTGCCCTCGCCCGCAGGCTCCGCGCAGGGGGGCGCAGGGGGGCGCTGCTGCGCCCTGAGGGGCCGCAGTGAGCGTGCTGGGGGAGCCCGTGGGGAATGGCATGGCATCCGGTGCCAGGCCCCGGGTCCGGCCTCGTGGGGGAGTGAGTCTGAGGCGGCCTCTCTCCAGGCCCTTAGCGCCTCCCAGTGCTTCCCTTGGCTCAGCTCCAGGCCGTGGGCCGGGCAGGGGTGTGAGGCTCCCTTCTGGGGTCTGGGGCCCAGTCTCCGCCTGACTATGTGCTCCCTCGCAGGAGCCAGGCCCCTTGGCCCTCCGTGTGTGTGTGTGGGGGGGGTGGTGGTGGAGGGAAAGGGGCGGGGCCAGGCGAGGGGCGGCCTAGTCATCCTTGTCCTTGGCTCCGTGCTTGAGGATGCGCGTGAACTCCACGTAGTTGAAGTTGCCTTTCTTGTCGATGGGGGCCTCGCGATACATCTCGTCCACCTCCTCGTCTGTGAAGCGGTCACCCATGGTGGTCAGCAGCTCCCGGAGGTGGTCCTCATGGATGAAGCCTGGGGCCAGAGGGGGACTGTGAGCGCAAGCGCCAGGACGCCCCACCCCCATCTCCCATCCGGGCTAGAAGACAGGCATTGGGGGGGGGGGTGCTGAGGAGGGTCCTAGAGGGGAGAGTTCTGCAGGAGAATGGCCTGTAAGGGGTTTCTGTGGGGCACATGCCTAGGTTGGGGTGCAGATCTGCTGTGTGGCCTCCAGCAAGTTACTTAACCTTTCTGTGCCTACTTTATCTGTAAAGCAGGTAGATGTCTGTTCAAGGGGGACAGCACCCGCAGGGGGGCTGTGGCAGTGATCAAGCAGGGATGGGCCCCCTGGGAGCTTACGTCACCAGGGCACTGCCTGTCCCTGGGAAAAACCTGCTAGATGACAGGTCTGAGGGGCGGGTTGGTGTCCTTGCTGCTGTGGGAATGGCGCAGTCTGGTTTTCTGGAGATGGGAAGCAGGGTCGTGGGGGGGGGGGGCAGGGCCCTCCCGTGTCCCGCCGCCAGCCCGCGGCCAGCGCTGACCTGAGGCCTCCTCGTCGAAGCAGGCGAAGGCGTTGCGGATCACGTCCTCGGGGTCAGTGCCGTTCAGCTTCTCCCCAAACATGGTGAGGAACATGGTGAAGTTGATGGGGCCCGGCGCCTCGCTCATCATACCCTCCAGGTACTCGTCCGTGGGGTTCTTCCCTGCGGTGAGCGGGCATTGGGGCCTGCTGTCCCCGGCCCCTGACCCTAGCCCGCCCCCTCCTGGCAGTGAGCGGTGGGGACTGGGAGCTGGCTGGGGACACAGCAGGCTCGGGCCACCTGAGGAGTCACCTCGGCCGGGGGGGACAGCGACTGGCAATGCTCACCCTAGGGCGGCTGGCAGCCGCTGTGCCTGGAGTGCCACATGCCTTATTTGCTCTTACTGCCTTGTACTCGCAGTGGTCTTATCCTTACTTCACAGGCAAGAACAGAGAGGCCAGGGTACCTGTCCAAAGTCTCACAGCAACTCAGCCATAGAGCCAGAATTGAAACCCAAACAGCCTGGCCCCTGGTTCTAGACACCGTCTCACTGGCATGAAATCAGCGAGCGCTGGTGCCACACTAACCTAGCTTTGAATCCCAACTCTGGGTCTCCGTTTCCTGTCTCTTAGATGAATAAGACAATGATGATAAAATGCTCATGACCAATACAACAGCCTTTGGGCTCTGGATTCAGATTCCAAATTCTACCAGGGAGTTACTGTGTGACCTGGGGCAAGTTATTTGGCTTCTCTGAGCCTCTGTTTCCTCACTGGTACAGTGGGAAGGACGGTCGCCTCCACACAGAGATAGAAGATAATGTCTGGAGAGCTCATTATCTGCTCTCAGCTCTTTTTTAACCTGAGGCTAATGCTCTTAGCTAAGAGCTGCTCACACAGCCACACATCCAAACACCTGTTTTCTGAATTGTCATCTGGGGGGGGGGGTCAGGTCTAGGGTTTGGGCTTGAAAGCAGAGGGGAGCCCTGGTGCCTCACCCCCACCGTGACCCAGCACGACCCCAGCCTCTCCTGGCCTTTGTTGCCTCTTCCTGAGACTGCAGAGTCCCAGACATCAGCCCTGGAGTTCACGTCTGGGGGGGAGGGGAGGTCCCGGAGCAGCTCTGGGGGAGGGGAGCATCAGGTCCTTCACGGTGGCACGCCACGTGGGGTGTGCAACGGGCATGGGCCCATTACACACGCAGGGCAATGGCACAAAGCAGTGCCAGGGCCTGACCCAGGCAGGATGCGGAATATGCCAGAAACAGGGCTGAGGGCAGCCGTGTGGGGGCAGCATGAGCAGGGCTGTGCTGGGGCGGGCTCGGGAGGTCTTCTTTCCCCCTGGGCTCAAGCGTCCCCAGCCGAGCAGTGGGAGAGGGATGTGATTCCTGAGCCATTTCAGCTCTAAGATCCTGGCTCTGGAGACACCCCTGGGGGCAGAGGGGAGAGACCTGGCTTCCCAGGAGGCCTCAGTTTCCTCTCTGCACAACCTCCACAGTTACAGACTTGTTTAAGCGAAATGTTACCGGGCAGCCCGAGACACACAGCCACCCCGACAGTGCCGCTGCAGTCAGCCTGTTCAAATCCTGTGCCGGCCCCCAGGGAAAGTCCTGATTTGTTCCGTGCCTCAGTTTTCCTATCTGATCAACAGGCAGTCAGGGAAGTATTGCATGTTTTCTTTTTTTTTTTGTCTGAGACACGGACTCTGAACTCAGTACCTGACATTTTCACTCACTGTCTGGAGCTCTAGCAGCTGAGCTGCACCATCTGTGTAAGTGGCGGCGGCCCGGCCCGGCCCAGCCCGGCCCGGCCCGGCCCCGCTGCTCACCCAGGGAAGCCAGCATGTCATGCAGGTCCTCCTTGTCAATGAAGCCATCGCGGTTCTGGTCGATCATGTTGAAAGCCTCCTTAAACTCCTGGATCTGGGACTGGTCAAACATGGCGAACACATTGGATGTGGCCCGCTGTGGCCGCTTCTTGGTGGTCTTGGCCTTGGCCCGCTTGCTGGACATCTTGGCTTCCGGTGTGGGGGCTTCCCTGCGGGAGGTGGCGCAGGGCATGACCGTGGGCCAGGGCGCTCCCTGCCCTCTCCCAAGTGGCCTTCAGCTCTAGTCCTGGCATTCAAGGCCTCCCGCAGGCTTGGGCCTTTTGCCACCCCATCTCAACAGGAGCAGAGAGGCATGGGCTCCCGATCCTGCCACACCAAACTGGAGTGTCCCCATATAGGAAGAGGGGGCAGGGGGAGCCCGTAGGGACAGGGCTGGACCTCTTCCGTGGTGACTTGTTAGGGTAAAACACAGCTGGCTTGGTGCCAGCCATGAACAAGCTTTATCCCCTTAATCCCTGATGGCATGTGAACTTCCACTGCCCCCTCCAAGTGACAAGGTGGGCAGCCTGCCCAGCAGCCCCGCATTGCTCACATTCCTCGGCCTCTCCGTCCCTCCACTGGAGGTTCTAGGAGGCTCTGGGCAGTACTAGCAGCCCGGGGAGTGGCTCTCCTCCCTCACTTCCTGTGCTTATGGGGGAAATGAGGCTCCCCAGGCTGAGAACGCAGGTCCTGGTCAACTTCGGTCCCCGGGTCTGTAGCCTCCAGCCAGTTGAGTCATCGCTTCCAGACCTAGACCTTCACTAGTCACCTTGAAATCCTCACAGGCTCCTGCACCCTCAGAACCAGTGTGCACCCCTCAGCCTGGCACTCAAAAGCCCCAAGGGGCCCTGGCCCCCATTACCTCGTCCCTGTGCGATCTGTTTCCTGTCACACTGAGCATTGGTGCTCCTGGCCTTCCTCCTGAGCCTCCCACAGCAGCCCCCCCCCTTCCTCAGCAGCTCCCCACCCCCTATGTGCTGTTCCCCCAGCCTCGTACTGACAGCAAACACCCGCAGACTCCATCCCCTGGGCATCTCATCCGTGCCTAGCACACCGGCACACGCTTGTTTATCAACAACTGTCAAAACTGGTCTGGGGCCTCTGCTGCACGGAGGCCAGCCCAGAGACCCTTTCCCTGAACCCTTGTCTGTGTGCAAGGCCAGTGTACCTGAAGACCTACTGCCTGCCGCCTCAGCCAGCTGGCGGAGGCCTCAGGACACTGGCCTGCTCTTCACCCCAACGTGTGTAGTGGGGGGTGCTCCTCAAGCTGTTCCCAGACCTCTACATCTTGGCCCTGGAGATCACCAACCCCAAGCTGAGATACTGGCTGGCCCTGGCATGTCCCCAGAGCCACAGCTGCCCGCACACAGCTCGGCAGGCTCATGCACGACCCATCCAGCTGGGGCGTTTGCTGCATGGCTCCAGGTGGGTGGGCGGGTGGAAGTCTTTCTGAGGGCAGGCATGATCGGGGCTCACCCAGCACCGTGTGTGCCACCACCTGGGCCTGAGCATTCCAGCTGCCCCATCCCCACACTGCTGACCCTAGGGTGTGGCAGAGGGCACAGGACTTGGGGGCTGATTTAGGGACTTGGGGGCTGATTTAGGCAATGTCACCATAGCCACCGTGGGATGCAGGGGAGTGAGTTAGGAAAGGACGAACCACAAAGGGAAGTGTGCACTCCCGTAGAGGGTTAGAGGCCAGCCGAAGCCAAGAACCCTGGGAAGACTCGAGTCCCTGAGTGGCAGACTGGGCCCTGGGTGCCCCCACAGGCTGAACAGAGGAAACCCCTTGTGCTAAGAGGCTGCCAGTGCATCTACAGTAGCAGAGGGACCAAAGACTTCGGGGATGTGGGTTGTGTGGGAGCCAGGTAGTCCTAGACCAGCTGGGCCCTTACTTAGCCATGGCCCCCCTCCTACAAGCCATAGATAGCAAGGACCAGGCACTGCTGGAACTTGGTCTGGCTTTGATGGGAAGGCACTGGAATCTCGCTGTAACAGCAGACGTGGGGCAGAAGCTAGACCTAACCTGTGCCTCCCGAGCCACCATATCCCCTCCTTCCAGGAGAGCGGCTGGAGGGCTCTGCGGGGCAGGGACCGCGACCTCCCAGCCCAGCCTTGGGCCAGCTCAGTAGACGGCCCGGATGGGGGAGCGCGGGGCCCCGGCGCACGGCAGCTGGAGGGTTTCTCCCGGCCCCCACCCCTCTCGGGCCCCGGCGTGTGGAGGTGCGCGGATGCTCTGGACACACCGGGGTCCGCTGAGCCAGGCGCGCCGGCGAGGGCACGCCCCGGCCGGAGGACCACCGAACCGCCCCAGCCCCGCACCCCGGGGAGGGGGCGATCCTAGGCGCGTCACAGCCCACCCCAGCCACGCCAGCGGCCCCTCGCCA